AAGATAGGAAAAGAAGAAAAAGCATATGGATAACAGGAGTCACTGAAGAGGAAAACAGAACAAATACTAAGACTATAATTGAAGAAAACATTCCTGGGAGGGGGAAAAACCCTGAAACCTTATACTGAAAGAACAGATCATGGGGTCTGGGGGGCACCTGGGTGGCTCACAGTCAGCTGAGCATCCAACTCCTGATTTTGGGTCAAGTCATAATCCCAGGGTCATGGGATTGGGGCTTGAGTCAGGCTCTGCACTGAGTGTGAAGCCTGCTTGGGATTTTCTTCTCTCTCTCTCTGCCCCTCCCGCACTCCCCCCACCCCCAGCTCGTGGGTTGCACCCCTGCTCTCTCATTCAAAAAAAAACCCCAAAAACCAGGGGTGCCTGGGTGGCTCAGTCGGTTAAGCGTCCAACTTCGGCTCAGGTCATGATCTCATGGTCCATGGGTTCGAGCCCTGTGTTGGGCTCTGTGCTGACTGCCAGCTCAGAGCCTGGAGCCTGTTTCGGATTCTATATCTCCCTCTCTCTCTCTGACCCTCCCCTGCTCACGCGGTCTCTCTCTCAGAAATAAATTTTTAAAAAATTAAAAAAAATAAATAAACCACAAACCTTGGAATGCCAACTGAGAATAACCAACGATATTCTAGCAAGATTACTATATTCTTCAAAAACTTTTTTTTAATGTTTATTTTTGAGAGACAGAGACAGCATCAGCAGGGGAGGGGCAGAGAGAGGGAGGGAGGCACAGAATCTGAAGCAGGCTCCAGGCTCTGAACTGTCAGCAGAGTCCAATGGAGGACTCAAACCCATGAACCGTGAGATCATGACCTGAGCTGAAGTTGGACACTTAACCGACTGGGCCACCCAGGCACCCCAAGATTACTATGTTCTAAGAAAAACAAAATCTTATGAACATTTAGGCACAAAGAATATATGGTATATAAGGGAGAGAGAATTAGATTATCTCATTTCTTCTGACAACAACACTTTATGACAAAAGAAAATGGAATAATATATTTAGACACTTGAGGAAAGGCTATGAACCAAAGATTTTATATCCAGAAAAACTCACCTTCAAATTTGTAAAGGTCACAGACCAGCTATTATCTATGTACAAGAACTTAGAAAATACTGTTCCCATGAGCCTTTTCTATTTGATTCCATTCTTTGGAATTTCTCCTCAGTGTGGAGGGCCTGTCCCAGAGGGGCTCAAGCACTCTCTGGTTGAGTTCTAGTGTACTGGGGTCTAGAATCTACCAGGGAAGGAGCTTCAGATGACCTAAATGACTAGAAAGAGGCTGACATAAGGACCTATGGAGAGCACCAAATACAATTACTTAGAGAAATAGGACAGGAGAGGTTGTTAAATGTAATGGCTATGTGATCTTGGAATTACTGAGCACCTCATTTTATTTTTATTGATTTATTTTTATTTTAGAGACAGTGAGAGTGGAGTGCGTGCAAGTTGGGGAGAAGGGCAGAAGGGGAGAGAGAGAAGAAGGGAGGGGGCAGGGATGGGGGGGAGGAAAGGGGGAGAGGGGGAGGGAGGGAGAGAGAGAGAGAGAATATTTTTTTTTTTTTTTTTTTACAAATAGCTTATTGTCAAATTAGTTTCCACATAACACTCAGTGCTCATCCCCATGAGTGCCCTCCTCCATGCCCATCCCCCCTGCCCCCCACATCCATCAGTCCTCAGTTTTTGTCAGCATTCAAGAGTCTCTCATGGTTGCCTCTCTCCCTTTCCACCACCATTTCCCCCCTTCTTCTCCCCCTTGTTCCTCAGTTAAGTTCCTCCTAATCCGAGAGAGAATATATCTTAAGCAGGCTCCACGCTCAGCACAGAGCCTGAAGTGGGGCTCAGTCCCATGACTGTGCGATCATGGTCTGAGCCAAAGGACGCTCAACTGACTAAGCCACCCAGATGCCCTCAGAGTACAACATTTTTAAAGAACAGAGATAGTGTAGATTAAAAAGTTGTACCTTCCTGGGGCTCCTGCTTGGGATTCTCTCTCTCCCTCTCTCTCACTTAGAGGATACTCTCTCATACAAAATAAAGAAACATTAAAAAAAAAAGTTGTGGAAACTATTTTGAGTAATCACAAACTGATTTATGGTGGTCATAACAGTATTTTTGCCTGTTGTATGTAATAGTAATGAAGCCCATGAGACAGATCAGGGCAGTCTAATTCACACTGAACCATTCAGACCCCAGATTCTCAGTGTGCAAGAAGAAAGATAAAGGTGCAATATTCAAGGTTAGGCTAAAACCATATAGTCCTGAGTTTTAACAGGGAATATTAAGGTGAGGTCACATGGTATTTTATCTTTAAATATACATGTATATTCTAGCCCCATTTACCACCAGGTCTTTAAAAAAAATGATCACCATGGTAACAATGACCATTCCTAGCACCCAGACTGTGATCTATCCATTTTTCATGAAAAGAAACCAGAGCTTCTGAGAGAAGTGGCGATATGAGGTGTGGGTGAAGAAATGTCCAAGAGAGCACGGAACACCATAACATACCAAATAGCAGGGAAGCCATCAAAAACAACTAGGGTGTGTCAAAAGGACTCAGGAAGCTTGAAGAAGTTCCCATTAACAAAAAGTGAGCTGGGCTTTGAGATAAGAATTGTAATGAATCGAAACCCATGAAAGATGTTTCAATCCATGAATTCAAAATGAAATGAAAGGGGGAAAAAATCTAACTGGTCATCTGAGAAAGAGAGAACCAATTCATAATCTTGAAAACGGAGTAAATAAAAGGAGAGAGTCAAGCATTTATCCTACTTTCCTACATGAACAGTACTACTGGCCAAACAGTAGAGAAGAGGGGGCACCCCCTTACAATTTTTACCAGCTGAAACCTGAAAACAAAATAACAGAATTTACTATCTCCATTTTGTGAGCCCTAAGGACCGGCTAGATCTGGGCGCTGAGCATCAACAGCTGCACAGATCAAAAAGAACAAAGACCAGACAACTTGGTATCATGGGCCCCTTGATGGAAGAACAAAACACTAGCTATTATCTTGCCAGAGGGAGCCTGAAAGTGCTCACACTTCAGGATCCAGCTGCCAATTTATAGGGAATTTGGAGGATAGAGGAACATGTTGAAATGCATCAGGAACGTACAACCTGCAGACACTAAGATAGTTGAAAGATGCAGGTCAAAGGTCACACTCCTTCATTAGATTCAACGTTAAGGACAAGAAAACGAAGGAAAAGGAATCGAGAGGTTACAAAAGACTTAAAAGAAGTATCGAGTTCTTTGAACTTTTAAACTTTAAGTGGTAGTGTCTAGAAATGCACTTGTGGGTGATTAAAAACCATGGAGAAGGGCAAGTGGGAGTAGCGGATACTTGCCGAGGGAGGGAGCGAGGGAGGGAGCGGGAGGGTTTCTGACCAGGAAGGGGCACAGGGGAGAGCCTGAGAAGGCTGGCAGAGTTCGGTCTCCTGACCTGGGTGCTGGTTACACGAGATTGACTTAACTGAACTCCCTTACCTGTTTGTTTAGCATGTTTTATAATAAAAAGGTTTCTGTTTTGTTTTTGTTTTTTCTTTTTTAGATAAATCAAACCTCTTCTTCTTCTTTTTTAATGTTCTATTTATTTCTGAGAGAAAGACAGAGAGAGAGAGAGGTGCAGCATGAGCAGGGGAGGGTCAGAGAGAGAGGGAGATACAGAATTGGAAACAGGCCCCAGGCTCTGAGCTGGCAGTCAGCACAGAGCCCGACGTGGGGCTCGAACCCACTAGCTGTGAGATCATGACCTCAGCTGAAGTCAGACGCTTAACCGATTAAGCCACCGAGGCGCCCCTCAAACCTGTTCTTCAAGAGAAGTTAAGGCTCTCAGTTTAAGATTTTGGCATCGGGGGTCTAAACAATGCTCCTTTCCCTTAGTAAAATATGTCTGCAGCCACAAAAATGATCAATTTAGCAACGCACACCCAGCAGAACAATTCCTTTTAACATATTTCCTTAATGTGATTTGGCTGCCAAAATTATGAAATCACAGGAGGAGCTACCCTCAGCCAAAAGTCCATGACGAAAAATGAGTAAATGTTTAAATGACACAGTTCAGGAATTAATTTGTGTTTATGTCAAGTAATTTTAGTTAATAAACGCTTCCAAGCACTGTTTCTAAGTCTGGCTCGGGCCACAAGAAACGAAGAGGGCAATGCATCTGCCGTGCAAGAGCGCCTGTAAGTGCCGCAGGCCCCGCTGCCCCCTAGTGCAGCTCGGGCGCATCACTCCCCTTTCGACACATTGGGGGCGAGGATTAAAAATTGATCCAAACCGACAATTACATGTCAAGGCTAAGAAGAACGTAATCAATAACAAGAAGCTTTACGTTAAAAAGTATCCCAGAGCCTGGTTTCACACGTAATCTACTTCTGGAATCTAAATGAGGAAATGTAAAGAACTTACTTTGAAAATCTCTCATCTGGTTTGTCTACCTGCATAAGAAGGCATTTCTTAACCAGGGCCGAACTAGACAGAACACACCTAATGCTGGCTTGAAAATAAGCGCTTTACTTATTGCTCAACTTTACTATTTACTATTTCCCAATATATGCGTTATGTCCCATTTTATACGTGTAACCTTTGGCATCTTATTTCACTATAAAGGTATCATTCACGCTGGCAGTTTTTGTTTTCCTTTTGTGGGAGGGAGTCCAAGGGAGTCCACAGAATTATCGGAAAGCCATTTTACTTCCCTCAGAATCTTCACACGGAGCAGAAGTGACAACAGTCAATGGGCATGCACACACACACGCACGCTCATGCCAAAGAAGGAAACCAATACGGTTCAACCTCTTTGACATAAGGGCTTATTAAGGACTTAGCTGTAGTTACCCTTTCAGGTCGCTACGTCACAGCGCAATCCAACGGATAATCGAAACTGCTACGACTTTCTGCTTTCCAAGCCTCTGCACACACATGCTTTTTGAAAGTAGGAGGTAGGTCCCGCTGGCCTGTGCGCCACCCCCTGGGAGCTTACCATAACTGTGCAGTCCTCTGAACCACTGGCGATGACCTGGTCATTGTGCGGGCACCAGTCAATGTCGAGCACCGGTCCTGTGTGGCCACATACTGTAGGGTAGGATTTGTCAATTCGACCAGTCTGAAGGAAGAAAGAAACAGACGTGATGTGACACCAACACCACGGAGTTTGGGCGCTTTCTCAGAACCATCTTTCTTATATTACCTCCACCCCGAACTCTCAGGTGTCTGTATACGATGACATTCTTGTTGGTCAATGTCAACTAGTAAGAACTGTCAACTTTTGTGTCTAGAAACAGCTAATGCCAAGGACACGCCACCAAATTATAAGGATCCACATTTCTGGAACCACAAAGACTTTATTTAATCAACTGCATTTATAGACACAGCAAACAAGAATCCTAAATCTTTTCAACAAAATGCAATTTGTAAATAATAGGTGTGTTTTCACTGTTAAAAAAAATAACAAAAAAACTTGGTATTATTCAAAATGTTAAATATAACTTTTAATATAATTAGCTGATAGCCTTAAATATACAAATTGCCAGTTCTGGAAACGAATGGCAGCATAAGCACACAAAGTTAGGGTAGTAAAAATAAAAGCTTTAGCTATTGCTTAGGGCTCAATCCGTCTAAGACAGTCTCTGTCTCTTCACTGTCTTCAGTCAACACAGAGCCAGCAGGACCAATTTATCACCACCAGCTTAGATCTCACCCATTATCTAGTCTATGTCTCATTAAGAATCCAGTATTCAGGGGCGCCTGGGTGGCTCAGCTGGTTAAGTGTCCAACTCTTGATTTCAGCTCGGGTCACGATCTCATGGCTCGTGTGACTGAGCCCTGTGTCAGGCTCTATGCACAGCACAGAGTCGGCTTGGGATTCTCTCTCTGCCCCTTCCTCACTCATGGGTGCTCTCTCCTTCTCAATGTAAACAAACAGTAAGAAAACAATTTTCAATGCTGGTCATAAGTAACCATCACAATATACTCACGGGACACATCAATTTGGCTTATCAAGTCGGTTTTGTGTTAACCAAGACAAATGCTATTGTAACAACAGGTATACAAAAGCTAAACAGGTTAGTGCCAGTCCACGCGGAGGCCCTATATGCTCTAAAAGCAGGCGCACAGAAAGGAATCTGCACCAAGCAAACCGAATCATTGCTGTCGTGTTATCCTCCTGTCCAGATAAGTTGGCACGACCCTGGGGCAAGGCTTCTCAGATCAAGGCTTTTCAAGATCAAGAAATTCTGTGATTTCTCCACTGTGACTCAACTGTGGAAATGTCCAGAGAAGCAGTTGTGCTAAACACCAAGACCGCAGTACCCAGAGTCAGACAGATATGGGTTCAAATCCAGGCTCTCCTGCTTAAACAGTGGGCGACCTTAGGCAAGTCAGACAATCTGAGCTTCAGCCCATCATCTGTGAAAGGAGTAACAATAATACTTATCTCCCAAGATTACTGCAGGATTAAATGAAATAAAATTTTTAGGTAAATCATAACTTAGTATTATAATTATCTGTATGCAGTATGGAAAAATTTAATTTCAGATATACTCAGAGATATTGCAGGCTCTGGTCCGTATCACTGCAATTAAAGTGAGTCAAATGAATTTTTTTTACTGAGCATATAGAAGTTGTATTTACACCATATTGTAGTCTATTACGTGTGCAACAGCATCATGACAAAAAAATACAATGTCTGAACCTTAACCGAAAAGCACTTTATTGCTAAAGATGCCAGCCATCATGTGAGCTTTCACGGAGTCATGATCACTGATCACATATAAACCATAACAAATGTAATAGCAATGAAAACGTTTGAAATATCCCAAGAATTACCAAAATGTAACACAGAGACGCAAAGTGAGCAAATGCTGTTGGGAAAATGGCATCGACAGACCTCCTCGATGCAGGATTGCCACAAACCTTCAGTTTGTGAAGAAACACAGTATCTGCAAAGCAGAATAGGTGAGGTAAGTCTGTATGGTGCCTGGAATATAGTAAATAATAAAAAAACTACTTCTATTACTAGCTCTTCTAGTTTAATAATTTGCTCCATCATTAAGAACAACAAACAGTGTCCTTTATGAACTTTTATGGGGGCCCAGGAGATACAGAAGTAAACACGGCAGCCCTGTCCTGGCTGAACATGGCGTCCATTTAAACCACCAAACACGGTGCGGCATGAGGCACGCCCCACAGGACAGGCACAGGTGGCAGGGACACAGAAGAAGGGGATCCAACCAGGCCTGTGGGGGTCACTGTCCTTTGGGGAGGTTTTCTTTCTTCTCCCTCTTTTTTTCCAAGTTTACGTATTTATTTTGACAGAGACAGTGCCAAGAGTGTGTGGGAGAAGGGCAGAGGGAGAGACAGGAAGAGAGAGAGAATCTCAAGCAGTCTATACCGCTGTCAGTGCAGAGCCCCACGCAGAGCACGATCTTACGAACCATGAGATGACCTGAGCCAAGATCAAGAGCTGGATGCTTAACCAACTGAGCCACCCAGGTGCATTAGGAAGGTTTTCTGCTAAGAAAGAAGAATTCTAAATTGAGGTGTGAAGACGGTCCTGTCCACAGACCTAAAGCCTAGGTTTTTTCACATCCTCATTTCCCACTGTAAACTGAATTAAACCCAGCTTGAACCTCTGGAAAGGAACCCTAAAAGAAAGTGCCAACAAACACAGTATCGTTAGGACCTGGGTGCTATAAGGAGGGGCCCGTACGGGTCATTCATTCACAGGCAGCAAAGCACAGATGGTGGAGAAGCAGACTGCCTGGGCAGGCGTCATGGCTCTGTCAGGTGCCAGCTCTGACACCCAGGCCAAAATGACTTCATCTCTCAAACTCATCTCATCTGTAAACTGAGAATGTTAGAATTCCTTCTACACAAGCTGGTGTGAAGACTAACTGAAGATAATCTAGGTAAAGTACTTTCCTAGCACATGAAAGGCTCAATAAATGTTACCCCAAATTCAACAACTGCTGGAATCCATTCTATCATATCCCTGATCATGTCTTTCCTTAAAGAAGAAACAGCTACTAAGGACTTCAGCCAGGTGGTTTTCCCAATCTTCCTTACTGTGTCCCCACAAAAACCATGAGTAACCCACCCCTGAAGCTACCCCACCCCACCGTAATACTCAATTTCTCATGCAGGTGGTGGTGGACTTGCAGGTGTCCATTTTACAATAATACTGTAATACATGTAATATGTAATTATAATATCAACACTGTAAACCCACCAGCCAAAAGACAGCATGTCTCAGATTCCATTATAATCAGCCACAAGACATATTTAAAAAGGAACTAAGTTAAAAAATAAAAAGGTAGGGGTGCTTGGGTGGCTCAGAGTGTCCGTGTCCAACTCTTGATTTCAGTTCAGGTCATGATTCCCAAGGCTGTAGGATAGAGCCCCCTATGTCAGGCTCCACACTGAGCATGGAGCCTGCTTGAGATTCTCTCCCCCTACCCAACGCCTGCCCCTCTCCCCCTCTCATGCTCTTTAAAACAAACAAACAAAAAAACAATAAAAAAAAAAGGTAATTAAAGGAAGGGAAGGTCATAAAAAGATATGCCAAATAGCTAAGCGAGGACACACAGACTTATTAAAGATTAATGTCACTATATAACATTGAAACAACTCACTGGACGCTAAAGACACTAGGAAGTTTAACTCCTCTAACTACACAGATTCAAAATAATTATAGCAAAAGCTGACAGAGCTGAGGAGAAAATGACAAAGCCATAATCTTAAGAGATTTTAACAGAGACTCACTCTCAAGCAAACAGACAAAAATTAGTACGAATATAGAAGACTTTAGTAAAAGTAACAAGCTTTATCAAATGGATACATCCAGCCTTTAAGCCAATATTTTAAAAATAAACAGTTTTTTCAAGCACACATTAAACATTACCTTTTTAATGTTTTATTTACTTTTATTATTTTTTAATGTTTTTATTTATTTCTGAGAGAGAGAGAGAGAGAGACAGCACGAGCTGGGGAGGGTCAGAGAGAGAGGGAGATACAGAATCTGAAGCAGGTTCCAGGCTCTGAGCTGTCAGCACAGAGCCCGACGTGGGGCTCGAACCCACTAACCATGAGATCATGACCTGAGCTGAAGTCAGACGCTTAACCGACTGAGCCACCCAGGCGCTCCCTTTTTTTCTTTTTCTTTTTTTAAAATTATTTTTAATGTTTTTATTTCTGAGGGAGTGAGAGAGACACAGCATGAGCAGGGGAGGGTCAGGGAGAAAGGGAGATACAGAAACATTACCTTTTTTAAATGATCAATTAGGATACCACAAAGCATCTCACAAAATACCAAGGAATCAATCTCTCGTAGCACATGTTCCGAGTACAATGCAATAAAAAAATTAATAGAAAAATATATAAACCAAAAATCCTGAAGGCATCTGAAAAATTTTTTACTTTACTAAATAATTCACATAGAAAATCATAATGGTCAATAGAAAAGCTAAAATTGATCAATAAATACAGGACATTTCATAACTTGTGGGAGAGGGCTAAAACAGATCTTAACAGAAAATCAATTAGCTTTAATTACATATATACAGAAAGTCTGAAAATTAAGGAGCTAATAATAAGCACATAAAAAAGTTCCCGTATTTTTACTCAGAATACACCCAAAGAACGTAAAATTGTGAAAAGAAATTAACAAGAAAGAAAAGAAATAATAAGCCAAATCAACACAATATGATAGATTAAGCACAAATACCAGGAATTTAACAAGTCACGTTACAAGCATGGTGTAAATTTACATAATATGAAAATACTAGGAATAACATCTGATAATAAATTTTAAAACACTAGATGAAAGAGGCAATCTTCTAGGAAAAAAACCCTTATCAAAAATTTTTCAATAAATAAAAAACCTGAATAGACTCATAGCCCTAAAAGAACCAGTAACAAAGGTCCACATACTGCCCACCTCCCCATAAATCATGTAATACCAAAAGCCACTAGGCCCACATGGTTTTACAGGAGACCTTCACCAAACACTCAAGGAAGAGACGGTCTCAGACAAAACTTCCCAGAGAACGGAAACAAGGAGCCCCCACTGAACTCCTTGCTGAAGGGCTGTACCACCCAGACACACAG